AAAAAAAAAAAAAAATATATCGCCTGTATATATATATATATATATATATATATATATATATATATATATATATATATATATATATATATATATATATATATATATATATATATATATATATATATATATATATATATATATATATATCACGTGCACTGTAGGTGCACGTGATCCAGAAGCTGCTATGCTGACAAGGAAAAAAAACACAGAAGTTCCCAAAGCGCTTTCGTGTAATTCACATCTTCAGGGTGAAAATTACAAATAAGTAGAAGTTCAGAACAAGTTATATATATATATACAGAGGAGGGTGAGATCAAGTCACATAGGTCAAGTATAGGTGGACTTCCATCTCTTTCAATGATTATATATATATATATATATATATATATATATATATATATATATATATATATATATATATATATATATATATATATATATATAATGCATCACTCGCCTCTGGTTACTTCCCATGGAAAATCAAAACAGCACGCATACAAATGTTTGCCGATGACGCAAATTTATTTATGGAAATCAAGAACCAAGCGGACTGTGAAGAGCTCCAGAAGGATCTCTGTGAGCTCCAAGAATGGTCGAAGAAATGGCTGCTGAGATTCAATGTCACGAAGTGTAAGAGGATGTACCTGGGGCGTACCAACGGTAAGGAGGCGTATCATATGTCCCAACGGGATGAAGAAACTGCACTATTTGATACTGAATGTGAGAACGACCTACTGTAGGTGTGTATGTTGACAATGAGCTGAAGTTCTCGGGCCAATTGCGAGAAGAAGGTAAATCAGGCAAATAAATTATTGGGTCTTATAAGAAGGCCGTTCAGATATCTAGACGGTCCGTCCCTCGTAACGAACTTCAAGAGTGAAGTGCTTCCCCATCTGGAGTACTGTCACCCCATCTGGTCCCCGAGATATGCTAGTGACTGTCAGTTGGTTGAAAATGTTCAAAGGAGGGCCACCAGACTGGTGCCTGCACTTCGGCACCTTAACTACCCTGAGAGATTGGAGTGCCTGAACTTGCCTAGCTTATCCTACAGACGAGCAAGGGGCGACCTAATTGAGGTGTATAAGCATCTCAGGGGGCACTACTCAGATAACTGAGAGGGCAAACTTTTTCGGAGTGAGAGTTGTGAACTCTTGGAACAATCTACCAGAAAGTGTTGTGGCGGAACCGAGTGTGAGCTCTTTCAAGACCAGACTTGACCAACACTGGAGCAGGTTCAGGCACATTCAGGAGCCAGTGCATGCCCAGTACTTGCCAACAGTGCGTAACAGAGACGTGACGATCGCCCAAGCGGCTAACGAGCTGATCAGTGGTGAAGAGGATAAAAGTAAAAGAACAGGTATAACAAAACACATTACACAACGCAAAATGCTTGCTCAATCACAACTCTCAAAATTACGAAGATTCAGCAAAATGGAAACCAACATTCAACTACGCCTATTCAAAGCACTTGTACGCCCCCACCTGGAGTACCCACTAATTTCACTCAGCACGATCAGCAAAACCAGTCAACTTAAACTTCAAGCAGTAAAACACAAAGCTATCCGTAGAGCATCAAATAAATTTTCCCCATACACCACCAAAATTCAAGTACTTCACGAACTATGCAATATCGAACCACTGAACACACGTACACACAGCCAAGCTCAGGGAGTTTGGAGCAAACTTGAGGAGTTGGAGGACCCAATCTTCTCCCAGTTAAAAGAACATACCAGAAGAACACACAGCTGGTGGCCCAAGAGCCTCCATGCTAACAAAGAAGAACCAGACACACTTTTATAGATATATGTGAACAAATAATACCACCATTTAACTAACATAAATTAACACACATTACACTAATGAATGTCTAGCTAGCTTAGCTCCACCCCTCCTCAGAGCGACGGGCACGTGTTGTGTATGGCCACCACCCCAACCAATCGCCTCGACTCAGCTAGGTCAATAGCCCACCTGCTATTACTCCCTATTACTTTACTTCCCGTTTCTATTCTTTCCTTCTCTCTTTCCTCTCCTCTCTCATGACGAAGTCAGTTGCCACTTTACTTCATATTTATCGTCATCATCATCATCATCATCATACCTGCTGTCAATCTCCCACTTTATTTCCCACTTCCTAACTTTACCTTCCTCCTACATCTTGCAACTTCGGGGCCAACGGCTCTCTCCTCTACATCTCAACAACAACAACGAAGGATCAGTCGAACGTTTATGTTCAGAGTGTGAAGTACAAGCTTAGTGACAGCTAAAAATAATTGTTGTTCAATTATTGTGGAATTGTTGTGAGCGATATAAAGTGAAAAGACTAAGGAATTATACACTGGTAGTGTGCTGACTGTACTCGTATATTTTCGAAGTGAGAAGACCAGTGATACGGACATACCCTGTGAAGTGTTATACAGATTTAAGTGCTTATTAAAGAGGACTACAGCTTACAAGTGTGTTTCAGTGACCTGGTGGAAATCTAGCTGCCTGTTGTTTTATCTGTACATTTATATCGATCGTCGGGAAATTACCGGAGACTGGCGGGACTGCCAGGTGTAATTCGACGACATTTGTGATATATCTATTGCTTCTGTATATACAGTACGACCTTGCTGCTGGTAACCCGTGGTGGAAGCGGGTAAGCGGCGAGAAAGGGGGTTCGTAACGCTAATAATAAAATCATGGCCTGTCTTCAACACGGGGTAGGAAAACAATCGAAATTCTAACTTTGCAATAAGAATGTTTCCCTTTTAAATGTAAATTGAAACAAAGTGAATGAAACTCTGGCTCTATTTCAGCAATTTGGGTTAAAATTTTAAGAAATGAAGAAGCATGAAAATTGTGCCCCTCTCCTACGATAAATATAAATGCCTTCCCGCTGTCCACTTTCTCACCCCCCCCCCCTCTCATCGCTCACCAATAGCAGCCATACTAGTGACGGTAAAGAGGAGAGACTTGGAATAAGTCCAATCCTGATCCCATGCGTTCAAATCGCCATCGTATTGGATGTTGGAATCCGAAGCCTTCTCCACGACAAACCCAGTGAACCTTTCGAGGGTGTTTCTGACCTGCGGGAGGAAAACAGAAGAAATTAATTTCTTTTGCTTAAATATGGTTTAGCCATGTTGGGTTAGGTGACACTCTAATCATAAATTGATGCTGTAATACTATTGGATGGGATTCAAACCCTAGTGACTTAGGTCACTGAACTATTCAAAAGATGAAACTTTGAGTTACAGTATTGTTTAGTAGCTTTATACTATGTAGTGACTATGGTTGTGGAAAAGTGAAATGATAAAAAGGATGGTGCAAGAGCATGTGGTAAATGTAGCTGCTCAAACTCTCAGTTAAGCTGTTAAAAAGACTATGTTTTTAGAGCCAAACATTTTTACCTACCTATTGTGGACCATAACAGAATGAAAGGTTGCAAGTAAGAATTAAAGGTAAATGGATCCTGGTTGATGGCTAAATTAGATTGAGCTGAGAGAAATATTCTTAAAACTGAATAAAGAGCTAATAAAATAAGAGGCGTTATTCAGCGGAAGCTATACTCTGGTTCTGACAGTACAATACTGTACCTCCCAGAGATATAGGATCAAGCAGGTCATGGGCCCCTTCCCCGGGCAAGGGTGGCAGTAAAGTACGTTGCGGTACGGAAAATTTTTCCCCAGTACGGTACGGCACAAAACTGTACGGTATATTTTCCATACCAACTTATTTAGAAAAAGACTAATAATTATGGCTATGTACGTGAGGTCTTATGTGTTACTTGTCAACTCAGGTCATCATCAGAGACCAACAGGGTCTTGTTCTGGAGCTCTCCTCCTCTGGGGGTAATACAACATGTAGATGTGAGACCATGAAAGTGCCTGTAATCTTATTTCATCTATTGTTTATCTTATATTTTGGCAATAATTTATTCACCAGTTTTATGAGTAAATATTAGGTGATACTTTTGTGAACGGTAGAAGAGCTGTATTACGAGATTAAGAAAGATAAATTACTAAATTACTTGGGTCACAGGACCATGAAGTGTTATTGTTTATGCTATTGTTTTGCTGTAAATATAATAAGTGTTGATTAATATTAATTAGTATTTCTTTGATTCCTGACTCACTTTACACAATGTAGTGAATAGTTTCCTTGGATGTATTCTCACAGTGTAATTATACTAAATGTCATCTTCAATTGTCAGCAGGAGATAGCAAAGGGGTGTCTACATGATTCTCGTCTGTTAACCAAAGCTTTTATTTCAGAATGTAAGTCTGATTAATGGGCGTAGGGGTTGAAGCACTGCTGAAAGAGGAGAATTACTCTGTAGTTGCCGTGACAATATAATTAAGTACTGACCATCATGTTGTATTCCTTGGCGTCAGTGATCTCTTCAGACTTGAACCAGAGGAATGATATAATGTAGTTTATGGCGTCATCCACGTCCATCGACACCCGCTTCTTCGCCAACCTGCGTTTGTTCTCGTTATCCGTTTCTAAGTTGATGTACAAGTACGCTCCTGTGGACACACTTATATATATTCACTTCCTTAAACCCGTACCTCTCAAAATGGGGTAATTATTGACTGTTCCTGTTCCTGTTAAAACTATAATTATTATTGTTCCTCTTATATGTCAAAATGACGTAATTATCTCCCCACCCCCACCGTAGAGAGACTGAGAAAATATGTTCAGCTGACAATAGAGTCAACTAGCGTTACCGATAGTAACGACGGAAATTTTCAAGAATTTGTGCATTTTGCAGTTGCTAGAGACACTGAACTTTAGAACAATATAAAACTGTAGCAAGAATGCAGTGTACACCAGTCATAGACAGGGGCGGATTAAGAACAGGTGGGACCTGCAGCAACACAGCAACAAGGGACCCCTCCAGTATAATACACATCCAAATAACAAACTGTATATATATATATATATATATATATATATATATATATATATATATATATATATATATATATATATATATATATATATATATATATATATATATAATTTATTCTTGTCAATGATAAATCATAGAAAATAAATTAAAATGCTAAATTGTCAGTCTGCAAGTCAATGAGAAATTACGATGGCTTTTGTAGAAATATTTCCTACAAATGCAACGGAAGTTTTACTTATTTGGCTGTATATAACTAGATATAAAAATTATAACTTACATGCATGAACTATTAACCAAATAGCATGTACAGTATTTCTATCACAGCATATCAGCCAACATGGCAGCAAGATCTGTGACATTTATGGTAGCCATCAGAGCCAACCAATCTCCCTAATTATCAGGTTAAAAACTTTGTAACTAATGATCGTAGCTCATATCCCCCCCCCCCCACCCTAGAGGTGAGAAAAGCGATTCAACACTTGCAACAGAAACTGAAATTGAAAATGAAATACTTTTTTGACAATAAAACTATTACATCAAAAGGACAGGGTAGTATACTACTCCCACCCTCACCTTTGCCATCCCCTTCTGGGGCTTACAAAGAGTTATAAATGATATAATAATACAAGTATTATTTTTACATCAATGAAACCGTTCACTTTGACATGAACACTGTACTACATTAAAAGAACAGATAATGTAATATTAGGCTAAGTTAAATGTCATAATCTTGGAGCAAAATTTTTATAGATTGCAAGAGTTATTTTAATCTTTCCATTATTAATCATCCACCAAACTTGTTTCTTTAAAGTAGTGATCTCACTGTTCTTGTATGGTTGGGTTTTTTTCACATCCTAATACATAATGTTGTAGTGTAAGAGCATCCCTAAGACGACACAGTTGACCCGCCCCTCCACTTATCTGCCAGTAATAATTGTATCCCAATTTTAGTCTCATTATAACAGTATCAACAGGTGCTAAGTTAGTCCAGTGAGTTACATTGATGTTTTGTAAAACAAATAGTGCTGAAAACTCTCGCTGCATATGGCAATCAGTTCTCTTCTTGCTTTTCCCATTCATCCCTTTTTTCTTTCATTTCCCTCTTTATCGTTCCCTCTATATGCATCTTTTCTGCAGAATTTTTGGCCAATTTGTCAGTCATTTCATTTAAATGAATCCTCACAGGTGATGGCATCCATACACACTGCACAGTGCATTCCATTTCTTGCATTACTATGACCAGTCGCTTACAAATATTAACAATATGAAAGTTACATGGATTTTTGTCTGCTAGCCTTCCAATACACTTTTACTTTCAACAAAAATACATGTTTCTTTACATTTCTCTATAGCAACCCGAAATCCTTCACATATTGCGTGTAGTTCAGCCAGCGTGGATGGGGTGTTCTTACTAATTCTTTTACAAACTGTTTCATCTGCATAACACTCATTGATAAAATATTCCCTTAAAAAAACACCACATCCCGCTTGACCGTTACTTAATACTGATCCATCACAATATGTATGTACAATGTTTCGCCTGGGAAAACTATTTATTTTCTCTAAGAAGACATTTCGTAAATAACTGGGGTGCCAATCTTCTTTTTTTTTCCCTCAAGCTGTAAAATATCTACCGTAATGCATCCTTCCTGCCATGGTCTAAGCCTTAAATAAGTTTGTAATGAAATGCAATATTTATCTACTCCATACTTCATCATAATATTATACAGTAACCTTACATACTTGGACACATTGCCAATATCTTTTCTTTCATTTAAGCTCATTATTGTACGGGACAGCCTATTATCTCCTCTCCTAATGGTCCTAAGATTAGCGGCTACAGCAAGTTCCTTTACTCTGTGTTCTATACTCGGTAGATCTAACTCCATTCTCATTATTTCAATTCTAGTGTTCCGTTGACAACCTAAAACAATTCTCATGGCCTCGTTTTGTATCACTTCAAGCTTTTGAATAATAATCTTACCATACATTATAAGGATGGGAGCTGCATAGTCAATAACTGAACGTATAGTACTGATATAAACCATCCTTAAGATAGGAATACCTGCGCCATTTCCCTTCCATGACAAAGCTCTTAAAGGTCTTAAACGTCCTTTACACGCATTCTCCAGGTATTGCATCTCACGTACCTTACTGTTGGACTTGTACCCACTGTACATCCCAAGGTATTTGTAAACATCAACTTTTTCTAGCCTTAATCCATTCAAAAACAAATCCCCTTGCTCATAATTTCTGACCTGATTTTTTTTTCATTGTTAATTACAAGGCCCATTCTACAACAAAGTGTACTCAATATATCTAAAGCCTCTTGCATGTTTCTCATACCTTTACACTGTAAAAGTCTATCATCAGCATATATTACAACCTGTGTGTCTCCAGGAAATTCGTAATGAGCAATTATGTTCATCAATATCCTGTATGTTAAAAAGAGTGGGGCTAAGTACACCTCCCTGTGGAGTCCCCAACTCCATCCCCCTTTCTTCCGAGTACCAACCCTGAAACCACGCTCTAGCCATTGTGTTACTTAAGTAATCCACAACCAATTTCAACAACTTTCCAGAAACCCCTAAATTAATTAGTTCCACAAGTATGACTTCTTTATTTGCCCTTTCAAAGGCCTTTTTTAAATTTATAAAGGTTCTACATGTAGCCTTGGAGTTATTCAAACACTTTACAACACAGTCTGCAGTACTTCTCCCTTTCATAAATCCATGTAAATTGGGCGCCACGAGATTTTCCACATTATACAACAACCCGTTTAATACTATTATTTCCATCATTTTACTAAAACAAGAGGTCAAAGATATTGGTACAATTATTGTTTTCTTCCACTTAAGAGGGATAAAACCTCCATTATAAGACATATTAAACAAGTCTAACAGGGGCCCTTCTCTAATACCAGCGAGACAGTTAGAAAAGATTGGACCAATACGGTCAGACTCCGGCGAGCTCACTGATAACGACGGAGAAATGAGCAATAATTTGAATAAATATTTTTCAACAGTTTTCACCACCGAAAATTTAAACATGATACCCGAGGCACCGACTCTACTCAGAGATAGTGAAGAAAACAAATTAAGTGAGATAGTAGTGACTAGTAACGATGTTAGTAAGCAAATAGACAAACTAAAGCCTAATAAGTCACCTGGTCCCGATGAGATATTTGCCAGAGTATTAAAGGAATGTAAGGAAGAGCTTAGTATGCCCTTAGCAAAGTTGTTTAACATGTCCTTAAAAACAGGTGTAGTACCAGAATCCTGGAGGATAGCGAATGTAATACCGATTTTCAAGAAGGGGGATAGATCACTATCCTCTAACTACCGCCCAATCAGTCTAACATCAATAGTAGGCAAATTACTGGAAGCAATCATTTCAAACTCTATTCGAAATCACCTGGAGAAGCACAGATTGATCAATGATTCCCAGCATGGCTTCACAAGCGGACGTTCTTGCCTTCAATCTATTAACATTCTTTTCATCAGTTTTCGAATCGTGGGACGGGAACAATTATGATGTGGTATATCTCGACTTTAGCAAAGCCGCCGACAGAGTCCCCCACGAAAGACTAATTAGAAGGTAGAAGCTCATGGCATCAAAGGTGACATCCTTAAATGGATTAGGTGGTTACAGGACAGGAAACAGCGAGTGAGCATTAACGGCACTAAGTCCCATTGGAGCAACGTCACAAGTGGAGTTCCCCAAGGCTCAGTACTTGGACCATTATTATTTATTATATACATAAACGACATAGATATCGGCATTGACAGCAACATAAGTAAATTTGCTGATGACACTAAAATAGGACGTGTTATCAAATCTGATAAGGACTCGGCAAAACTACAGGAAGATCTAAACAAATTTTTCGAATGGTCTGAAAAATGGCAGATGAAATTCAACGTGGACAAATGTAAAGTACTCAGTATAGGAGATGTAAACAGGGAAACCAGATACCAGATGAACAACGATGCCATAGAGAAATCCGACTGCGAGAGAGATTTAGGAGTAATGATAAGTAGGAACCTTAAGCCAAGTAAACAATGTGTTTTTGCTCGTAACAAGGCTAATAAAGTAATTGGGTTCATACAAAGGAGTGTTAGTTACAAGACTAGCGAGGTCATCCTAAAACTGTATCTTGCTCTTGTGAGACCACACCTGGATTACGCAGTTCAGTTCTGGTCACCGTATTACAGAATGGATATAGAATCCTTGGAAAGAATTCAGAGGAGAATAACAAGACTAATCCCAGGCATTAGGAACCTTGAGTATAGAGACAGGTTAAAGCATCTTAATTTGCACTCCCTTGAGAGACGTAGAGCGAGGGGCGACCTGATAGAGGTGTATAAGTGGAAGGCAGGGCTAAACAAAGGGACATTACAAAGGTACTCAAACTATCCAACCAGGAGCGAACTCGTAATAATGGTTTTAAATTAGACAAATTTAGATTTAGGCGTGAAATAGGTAAACACTGGTTTGGAAACAGAGTAGTGGATGAATGGAACAAGTTACCAAATATCATCATTAACTCGAATACGCTGAATAGCTTCAAACATAGGTTGGATGCTCATATGAGCAATAGGGGTTGGGTGTAAACAG